GGGAGGGAGGATGGGAGCCACACAGAGAGCCAGGAAAAGAACATCCACTCCAAAGGGAATAGAAACACTGAGCCTGGAGGCAGAGTGGGCTCGGTGCCCAGGAAGCGCATGGCGTGGCCAGTGTGGCTGGAAGGGAGCCTAGAGAGAAGCCTGCGTCCTCACCTGAATGTGAAACTGATTTAGCACCACCTCCTCAGGATTTACCAAGCTGGACTTGTGCACAGCACTTGGATCCTTTAAGGATTAGAATTAGGAGTTTGCCATCTGCTTGATACATGGTGACTGCAGAGATGATTTTATTTAGTTCTCTTTTCTGTAAATTTCTAGCTAACCCTGCTGGGAAGCCCCATGCCTCTGACACTGCAGCTTTCTTGCCTCGGCATAGATCTTTTCCCTGCTTCCTGCTAGCTGCGATACTCATCCTTTGGGTTCCAGTTAAACTGGGAAGCTTCCCTGATCGTCCCTAGCACAATTCAGTGATGTTCCTACGTACTCTGGTACTTCCCTTCTCGTTAGCACTCATGCATTATCGGGCACCTTAGCGTTCAAGAACGCTCTTCCCAGTGACCCACTGGATAGAATGAGGCCAAGGCTGTGTTTGCCTTAGTTCCAGTTGTATATCCAGTGTTGAGTCTGAGCAGGTCGTTTAATGCTTATTTGTGGGTAGGTGGGTGGTGGGTGGATGGAGGCATGCGTGCCTGCTAGTGAAATTTGTTCCTAACGGGGCATGCTACAAGGCAGAGTTCAATTAGACAATTATTACAATATTGGTGAAATATGGAGTGCCACACGAACTCTCTCATGCTGAGACCATAGATTTCATCAAGGAAAGTCCCTACTGGGAAACGTGTTATTAAATGTTTAGAATTTTAAAATTAGAAAGAAACTGTTTTGTCATGGGCTTAAATGTCCTCTGTTAACAGAAAGAGGAAAGGTAGGACCAAAGAGAGGAAGTGACTTGTCAAGGTAACCCAGGCTGTTAGAGTCAGGGCTCAGATGGTAATCTGGCATTTGGATTCTCTTGCATTTGATTCAAAGAGCGAGCTTGGCACTGTCTACTTCAAGGGTCCTGGGATCCAAACACTGAGATACGCTATACTGGATTCTAGGTAGAGAAATCCAATGCTTGGGAGGGACTGCTGTGCTGTGTATCAGGGTTTGGGCGTTTTTAGACTTGATGCATTTTGTGGGCAGGAAACTACCACTTTGATGTGACAGCTACAAAACCCTTCAGCGTAGTTGAATACTTGTGCAAGCGTTTACATTTCTGGATCAGACATACAGTGCTCCGACGTACCTGACTAATTTCCCCCCTCATCCATAAAGTCCTAAAGTAGCAAGCTTGATTTGAAAATAAATTATTAGTAAACATTTGAAAGTGAGAAACAAATTATTCCCAGAACACTTAGCTCCTTCCTTGAAATACACACTTGAGAATTGCTGAGATTCTGTTCTGTGAGAATGCTTGAATCTCTCCCTAAATCATAACACGGGTAAACTTACCGAAATATTTTTACAATTTTATTAGAGGTTTTAATTCACTGCTTTATCTCTCTCTGTTAGACTGCAAAATAGCTTTAAATATTCAAGTGGTAATTAATGAATCTTTTATGTTGCAAATCAAACATTTTCATCTGTGCGCTGGTGGAGTAGCAGTGAGGAAGGATTTCAGGAATAATTGTTTCTCCCAATTCCACATTGTTGACTAGCTCTCATACTTTACGGTTTAGGAGTGGGTTTGACTTTGTTGCCTAGTGGGGCTCACGCTCAGCGTGGACAATGTCTGCTGTCTTTCTGGAGGTCAGGATTTCTTATGAGTTTCCTGCCAGAGACATTCCCGACTAGATGGAAAGTCTTTGAATGTGGAATTTTTGCTTGAGTGCAAAATAATAAAAAGCATGTGTATGTTTTTAAAAAAGGATCAGCTTAATGGCAAATGAGCATTGGCTTACATTAATATTCTATTACAGTAAAAACTTCTATTTAATAAATTTTCTCCAGACTTTTTTTTCCTCCCAGAATCTTAACGTATTTTTCTAAGTGGCATGCCAACCTAAAGAAAGTATATATGATACATTTGATTTATGTTAAGTCAATAACACGCACAAGCCATTTAAAATTGTATTTTAAGTGTGGAAATAGCAACCCAAGGAAACACATATAGTACTATATATTCAAAAGGGAGAAGTGTTAGCTTTTCAGGGGCTGAGATGCCTTGCAAATATTACTCTATTTAAAAGATATTTTAAAAATGTGGTGCTTTCTGTCAGATGGCAATAAAGCAAGTCTGAAATCCTGTCATACAGTTCAGAACCCAAAATCAAGTTGGCTGGTATTAAAGACTTCACATGACAAAATAGTTGTCCTTCCCCCCTCCGCCGCTCTCTGCCATTCATGAAAACTGGTGCTGTAAGAGCGACTCTAGACAACGTTCTCGAAAGGACCAACAAATTCTTCACTGGAAGCCACCCTGTGTTCTTCCATGGCCCTAATTAATACTGGACTCGGTGACATTTATGTATCAGAGCAATAAGCTAAACAGGAAACAATTTATGTCACCTGAAGCTTTTTAACAAATCGATGCGACTATTTGTAATTGCTTGTTTCACAAGATTAAAAGTGCTAAGGCCTGATCTTCGCCCACGGATTTGTGGTCAACCTGACCTATGCTTCCGGTGTTTAAAAAAAAAAAGGGGGGGGGGTTGGTGATCAGCACTGACTTCCATCAAGTAATCCATATTGCTAATATTTCTGGAATTTTAATGTAGTTACAATTTATAGCCGATCAAATGTGGTTACCTAAATTGCTGTTGCTAGTAGACAGTTTAACTGTCTTTATTAATTACAGTATAATTTAATGTTTGAGTAGCGGCACTTGTGTTGGTCATTTTTATAGCTAGAGCAGTTATCTGCCTTATGACGAACCATTTTAGCATTTTCAATGGAAATTTGCTAATATGATGAGTGATAAAAATGTCACAAGCTGGTAAATAATGATTATTGCTTTGGCTGAAATTAATTCTTGAAAGGCCGGTTACCTTCAAATTAACATTATAACTTGAAGCTTGTCTTTTTCTCCTCCCTATATTCTTGGTATAAGCCAAAAAAAAAAAAAAAAAAAAAACCCAAAAAAACCCCCCGTTGATCATTTATATATATATATGGTATTAAGCATCGAATGTCATTTTACAGAGTGGAAATAAGACAACAAAGGGTTTTGTTTTTTTAAAAAATAAAAGCCTGTTTAAAAATAAATAAAAGTAGGTTATAGCTAGAGTGATGGCTTTCTAATCCAAATATTGTCCCAGTTAAACCAGTGTTTTTGTATGTAATTTAATTTCCCTCCAGTGTGAATTCTGTCTTAAACCTTTCATCAGTCAGTTCCTTAAATGAAGGTTTGAGACCCAACTTCACTTTATTTTAATAAAGAATACTTTTACTTGACCCAACTACAATGAAGATGAAAGATAAATTGTGATTACTACCCTCTATGTGAATATGTAATACCAAAGAAGACAAAATCTAGTAAGGAAGACTAATTACACTTTGTTTTGGTCTACTGGGGGGCAGATGGGGGGGGGAGATCGTTAATATCATGCAGCTGTTTGTGTTGATGTGAAATTCGTCTGAGTCTTACTTTCTGTTTATAAAGGCCTCCATTTAAAAGAAGAACATGTATTTTGGGCTTGCTGCCTCCTTTACCTGAGCAACCAGACTTAAATGAATGTGTGGAGGAGGATGTTCCTGCTTCAGAAGAATTCCAGAAATCCAGTGAAAAAGGTACTAGGCACCAACCAGCAACATCTTCCCTAATGCATTGTCACACTTGGTCTGGGTCCTTCAGCTTATTCAAATATGTGTACATATTTAATTTTACCAACTGCATATGCTGTAAGCAGTATTTATGTTTAAGCCTGGCATTTAAAGGAATTTCAATTAACCCTCATATTATATTCTTAGTAGCTAGATGAGAATTAAGGGTTCAAATGTTTTATTAATTATCAGACTAGAGGGCTTCTAGACTGTGGCATAACTGTTAATGAAAAGAGGACACTACTTTGTAACTTAATAGCAAAACCTATATTAAAAAATTTTTTCTTCATAAGATAGGCTTTTCAAAACAATGCTGGGAAAGCACGCTTACGTGCTCCTCACCAGCAGCCGGTGTTTGGCCGAATAGGAGCAGCTTGGTTAATTTTCAAGTCATCTTTTGGCTTGTGTTACGCTCTGAATTACAGACTGAACGGTTTTATGTTACCCCGGTTTGGACACTTCCAGTGCTGCTTTCAATATACCAATTTAATTTTTACTGAAAGATGATGCCCAAACTCATTAATCCTTAGAACATATATGACATAATAGTATTAAAGACAATAGCAGTGTTTTTTTTTTCTTTTATCAAGCTATGCAAAGAAACAAATCTCGAAATCAAGATGGTTTTTCTGGAATATTTAGTTCCTGAAGCTTCACTGTTTTCTGTACTGGATGCGGTTATCTAGCATACTTCTGATATAATATTTTTGTAAAATCATTTGTTCTAATCTAAGCATTTATCATTATATGCAAAAAGATTTCTTGATGAGAATATTATAGACGGTGCCATGTTTTTGACATTAGCATTTTATTTGGATGACTAATCTTGCAGATGTGAAATTTTAATGAATTATTCATGAAATTGCTTTCCTCTGAAATTTTAGTTTGCTCTTAATGCTAGTTATTAAACATTTTGGTTTTTTTTTTTTTCCCTGTATAAAATTTGATGAACAGAAATAAGGGTGTGCTTCCTCGGGAGAAAAGGTAGCCTTTATGTTTTCAGTGTTTTCCAGTTCCCTAAGTGGAGACTTAGCACTTGAAATCCTGAGGATGAGAGCTTCAGCCCTCTGTGATGATGGAAGCTTTTAGTCAAGATTGATTTTAATTCTGTGTTGGAAGCAGCTGGTGATACCGAACATACAAGATCAGCAGGTCAGAAGGGGGAAAGAAACTTAGGCTGTCGCGACTTTTTACTACCAGTGTGAACAACCAGCATTTTTATTGCATTTGAGAATGCTATCATGTCAGTAATGAGTACTGACTACACAACATTTTCTTTTTATTGTCTGTATCCACAGACATGGAATGATGGAATTACAGTTGATGTCAAGGAATGAGTTTCTTTTATGCCTTATCAAAACAAAACGAAACTGAAAAAATTCTCGTTCCTGGCAGCACATATCCACGAAGCACCGTGCGCACATTCTGGACTGGACCATCTTCCTCGAGGCTTCTGGGTAGCAGAGATCGTGCGAACCACACTGGGCCCATAAAATGCCTTTAGAATAATTAAGTCTCATTCTCAGGATAAAAAAGCGAAACCGACATTCAAAAACATCCAAAATATCAAGAGGGAATACCACGAACCAAAAGGTACCCCAAAGATTCAAAATCCTTATGAGCGTGTTCTTCTTTGTACCCTTGGAAACGGAGCTCAGCTGGAATGTGGAAAGGAGAATTTTTTTTTTTTTAACTTTTTTTTTCCATGATAAAATAGCTAGTGATTTACATCCATCAGATTTGGGGTGCAGAATCCAAGGTATTCTTGACTCGGTGTGATGGAATGCTGGGAATAGTGTTTGAGCTGTCCCAAGGTCGTGAGGCAGCCGGTCACTCTGCATGTACAGTACCCTTGATGCTTCATCTCGCGGCTGGTTCATTGCGGGCAGCGTCACTCTCTTACAAGGACAGACTCTAGGGACAAGGAGGATGGATTCTCATTCCTGACAGTGCATTTGCCTGATACAAGGGACTATCTCCCTAATGTACGCTTTTCTTTGAAGAAAAAAAAAAAAAGTAACAAATTGTCTTTACATCTTGGCACCTTGTAAAGTTTTCTTTTTTTTTATACAAAAAGTTCAATAGCTTTGACAACTCCCCATTATTAATCACTACTTCACTGATAAACTTTGAAAGTGTGACCCTGGCATTTCATCATGCAAAATATTTACTGCAGCAGGAGAAAAACATTTTTTTTTAAAACAGCATTTTTTTTTTCTCTTTTCAAATGTATGAACTGGTTTAAGATAGCCAGGAAGGCAGTGGTAGGATAAACACAAGGGATAGGAATGTATCAAAAAACAGATTAACACGCACGCGCACACACACACACAAATCTGTACAAAATGCTCTGATCAATGAGAACAGAAAAAAAAAATCTGTCAACTATGTTACAATTTAAAAGCCAAAGGTGGGGGGGAAAAAAAAAGGTTAGGGAATTTCTCCCTCCCACATGTCAGGAAATGTCATCCAATATTCTTAAAGCAAGGATAACTAAATAAAATACATGTGCAGCATATTCTGCAATCCCATTACATACAGTTTTTTTCCAAAGCTATTTTTTTTTTAGTATCGTTAATATAAAGCAGTTGCACAAAAAGCAAAGGTGTTTTGACAAACAGGTGTATGCATTTATTCCTTTTTAGGAACAATATCTAAAAAAAGAACCACCCTCCGCCCTCCCCCAAAAAAGACAAAGATTCACACAGACACATTGGAATATATGTACAACATAATAAACCCCATCCTAAAGAAGCGACTGGAACACCCCCCCCCCAAGGGATACAGAATCAGAATTGTAAAAATCATAGTGAACTTTGCTTGCTGTAAAGCCTGAGAATTTTTTTTTTCAGTTGGTTTATCTGCAGGGCTGTGGTACCTGCAAAGATATGTAAAATCTAATTTTTTTTTTCTTTTTGCTACAGTCTTTAGACTAGGCATGCAAGACATACGACTAAGTGCAACTGAGTGAAATGTATTTTTTTTTTAATTTTCGTCATTCCCTAAAGGTTTGAACTGAGGTATGCGTACTAACAGTTTCTCATGCTGTTATCTTTACTCATGTCTAGCTACACATGCTGAGAATGAACTAATCTACCAGATTTTTATCCTCTTTTGAATACCAAACTAACCAGCAACCACTCAGTTTAGAAGCACAGGGCCCCCTTCCCATGACCCTGTCTGGCTACTGCCTGCACATCATGAAGCTGCCTGGAAAAGTTTAAAAAAAAAAAGAAAAAGAAAAAGAAAAAAAAAAGTCTCGAGTGACCACAGACTGCCCTTTATACAGAAAGCAGAGTGAAGCTTCAAAAGAAACTGGCAAAGAAGTTTTTGTACCAAGCTTATGAGTGGATGGGAGTGTTACTTTTTTTTTTTTAAATGAAAAATGCTGACCAAAGCCTAATTAGAAAAAAAAGGAAGGAAAAAGGAAAATATTTTAAACCAAACAAAATACCGGAAGATCAATGCCCAGACAGAGCAAAATTGATGCAGTGATCTTAGCACAGTCCTTAAAACCAAAGTGGCATACAATCTTTCTGGAAAACAAAACAAAACATTCTAGGAATGGTACTACGTGATTGAGTTGCATTGTAGAAGCTTTTCTGTTTTCGTTCCATTTTATCTTGACTGTCTCCTTTACTGGTTACTCCCTAATTTGCAGTGGCATCCATTCATGGTTTTGAGATGGGACTCCTCTCCTTCCCTAGCTCCTGTAACACCTTCAGCAGCCCCGTAACCTCTCATATTTATGAGTTTTGGTCTCTGTTGAGGTACAGAACAAGAAAAAAAAAAAATAACAAAAGTAACAGCTTTGGTTCCATTACCTACTTGGTCTTCTAAATTTATTCTATGACGAAGGAGCAGTTCTCTTTCTCAGGTTAGCAATAGCCTAGAACTCATCAATTGCCTCTAAATTCTTTCACCTCCTTTGATCAACAATAAGAGGATATTTGGCTTCATCAGATAAAGCATAAAACAGAGAACATAATTTACCTTTGCGTAATATCTTTGGTAATTTTAGGGAAAAAAAAAAAGGTACAAAGAATATAAATTAAGCTCCGAAAGGCTCTCAAACTAAAAACAAAAGCTACGGTCCTAGATAAATAAATGAGTGACAGGAAAGTGGGTGCAGAGTGGAGGCGTTGAGGGGTTCTAAGGACTGAGGTTGTACTGACCGATGACTGTCACATTCTGCGTGCCATGTATGTTTCTCCAAACATTCTGGGGCACCATGCACCCCCGTCTCCTCGATGTCTTCTGTTAGTTTTGGATACTGGCTTGGTGTGATAATATTGCATAACAAACTGAACTGCAGTACCGAATTCACATGTTTGAAATGAACACTTGAGCATTGCTGAACTCAGTCCTCATTAACTTCCATAACAAATTCAATCTGAAATCTAATTTGCATTCAAACAGATTAATGCCACCAAGCAGGTCTGGACTGACGTTCAAATTCAGCGCTGCCACCACTTTCACCAGAGTTGCTCGGGGGAAGCCAGCTTTTTGGGTCCTTTTGCAAACAAAGCAACCCGTGTTGGTTTTCACCTCAGCGAGCCTGTGGCCCATGGCAACTTGGTCACCACAGGGCGAGCCCTCCACGGCCACACTGGGGGTCTAGCAGGAGCTCTTAGGGGGTGGGGGGAGCGCTGCCTAGGTCTCCTTGTGCTGGGGCACTGCTTAACCACGATGGTAGCTGTAAAATAGAAAACACCAAAAACCAAAAACCAAAAAACTGAAACCAAACCTGAAACAACCCCCTTCCCGCCTCCAATACTGCTTCGTGGAATGAATCTGCGTTGTTCCTAGGGTGTCTCTATTCTTTTTTTTTTTTTTTTCTGTCATTCATTCTCTTTCTTTCTGGCAGGACTTCACGTCTGTGTGAGAGGACCTTCATGTGTAGAGTGCAGCATTTGGGACCTTTTTTGAAAAAGACCAAAACGGAATGTTTTCGGACTTTGGAGAAAACGTGGTTATGTCTGAAGGAAGCTGGAATGAGTGACAGAAAACTGCGAACGAGAAATGACATTCAGCTTTTGTATAATAAAAACACCTATTAACATTCATCACAAGGTACAGAAAACTTGAAGCCTCCAGGAGGCCGTGGGCCCAAACGGAGGCCTGAGGTCAGAACTTAAAATGGTAGAGTAGAAGCAAAAAAAAAAAAAAAAAAAAAAAAAAAAAATGCAATACATTAAAAAGTTCGGGATAATTACTTTTTAACCCCCTCCCCCCAATACACACACAAAGGCCTTCCCCATCCCAACTGGAAGCAAAACGCAAACAAAAACGAACCAAAAAAAAAAAAAAAAGAGTAAAGGCAGTGATAATCAACATGCAGTACTGTGCAAATCGGTCGTCCGTTGGAATCCTTAAATTCCGGGCAGAGGCTTGGTCTGCGGCTTAGGTGCACATGCTCAGCTGGGTGTCCTCAGTGTCCGACGTCGGCAGGACTGCAGTTCAAAGTCTGCTGCTAAAAGTGAATCAGTTTAGCAAATTTACAACACTGATGTTGACTTAAGAGCGGAAAATCCCAAGTACCAAACAAGTCCATCCAATGCACAGAGTACAAATTCCTTTTTTCAACAAAAAGTAGAAAAATCAAAAATACTCCCAAATGGGATTCTTGATGGCACTAAGAGTTAACACGTTTCAGAGTTGTCAAAATGTAGTGAAAATCCTCCAGACTGTACAACAAATGGAGAACAATTTCACTGCTAACTTTTGACGTGTTTTGTTTTGTTTTGTTTTTGTTTTTTTGTTTTTTTCCCCCAATCTTCGTTCTTGGGCTGGCCCCCGCCCAGAGACGTTCACTCCATGTCCTCATTTACTGGTTCGTCTTCGTAATCTCTGTCGTGGTCAAAATCTGGACTGTGGTTGGCTGTTGTCACTAAGGACAGAGGCCCTTCAGCTTCCTCTGGATCGAGCGGTTCTTCTTTGACGTGCACAGGATGCCTGGAAGAGATGAAAAGAGGTTCACTTGAGGGCCCCTCCCAACCACGGCAAGTTCGGGGCTTTGGGCAACAGAAGCCACACTCTAGGACTGTACTGTCTCCCAGCAGAGGCACTAGCCACGTGTGACCCTTTAAATGAAAACTTAATGCAATTTCAAACGGAGTTTCTCAGTTACGATGGGGCAGCACAGAGATGACAAATTTCTGTCACGGCAGAAGATTCCTTTGGGCAGAGCTGCTCTAGGGTGATCTCTGGCCCGAAGCAGCCTCTCTTCCCCGGGGTGTGTCTCTCGCCGTCCTGTGCACTCAAGTCACCCTGGGCTCTTGTTAAATAGCCACGTGTGACTCAGCAGGTCTGGGGTGGGGCCCGATACTCTGCATCCCTAGCAAGCTCCCAGGCAATGCCTCTGGTCCGAGGAGGACCACATTTTGAGCACCAGATAACAGGCCCCACAGTGGCTTCCCGGGGAGAGGAATCCGAGTCTTCAAATCATTACGTGAAATAAGAATCTGTAACACAATGGTGGTTTGTGGGGACCACTGAGCGCGGGAGGCTGGGCTAATCATGGCTTGCTGTGTGTTCTGCTTTGCTAGTTAACATGCAGAACCTGTGAAAGAACTCTCCAGAGACCGACCCCAAGCGAGGTTCTATCATTAATCAACTTCAAGCAAACACAGCAAAGAGACACCATGATACATGCTTGAAACTCCAAATTAATGCATATTTTTACAAACTGTCAATAAGGCAAGAAAAGCCCTGCCAGGAAACACAAACGGAGAGGAAAAGGCTCGCCCAACACAACAATATGATAAGAAAGCAGAGCCCCGATCAGAATAATAACGCTGTCAGCTGTAAACAAGGCAAAACAAGAGGGCTGGCTGGTAGCGGCCACCAGGACGCCGCAGCCTGTGACGCGATCTGCCAACTTCCTCATTATGGCCCAGCACACGGTTCACCCAAAGGGGCCTGCGGGGGATCACGCGAAACCACTCCGATAACAACTGAGAAATGTTGTTCGTAAATCATATTTACAACTGATCCTTTGCAAATACAAATTACTTTCTGTTGCAAGCCTTTTGATATGGAAAAGAACCATTCAAGTTAAAATGGTCCCATCGCTGGCACTGGCTGCAGAAGGGAGGATTTTTTAATTGACGTTATCAAGTATTAGTAATAAGAGGTGGTACTGGGGATGGCTGATTTCCTAAATAATTGATGTATGCAAACCCCCAAAGGCCACTTGAACCATTTAAAAACAAACAGGAGTGCTTTGGACTGCCCTTGACGAGGTGAACCTTCAGAAAACCAATTGACTCTAAAATTAGCACAGCCCAGAGTGTGTCTGGGGGTAGATGTCAGGAGAAAGAGCTTTTAAAAAATTGTGCCCATCTGCCTAAAACTAGTCGCAAAACGAAATGTCTCGAAGTTGTAGTCCAGTGCATTTTCCTGGTTGTGCTCCATCCTTTTTTCAGTTTTTTTCATGGCCCTACTTCTCTGTGTTTCTACAGGAAGACACAGGACTGGCTACGTAATTTGCAGAGCCCCAGTGAAAAGTGAAGATGCGGTTCAAAAATTAGTCAGAATTTCAAAATGGAAACGGCAGAAGCACTGAAACTTCTAACCATGCCTCCGAAGCCAGCCCTGGTAGGAGCCCCTATATTCTTTTGGGAATAATTAAGTGTATTGATGATTATGCCTTTTAAAAAAAATCACCCATAAGCCCAAAATTAAGGTAGGTTTTTTTGTTTTTGCCTATCCTCTCCTGTGTGGCATCATATTTTTACATATCGTATACATAACAAATATTAGTTTGTCAGCTTTTTCAGTTGTAATTTTTATGGGTATATGAGATACCTTGTGTGGACTCTGCAGTCCCTTAATACTGGGCATTCTGTGATTGTCTTTTTTTTCCTTCTTTTGCTCTTTGAATAATACAGCCACCACTTTTATCCATTAATCTTCCTATTTCTGTTGATTTACCTCCTCAGGATAAATTTCTAAGAATGAAATTCTGGGAGCAAAGGCCAAAAACATCTTCATGGTTCTTAAGATTTATTATAGTATTAATTTCCAAAGGGGCGATATCAATTTAGACTCAACTTCATCAGCCCCAAGTGTTACATTTTAAAAAATATTTTGTTGTTTACCAGGTATACGGTAAGCTCCGGTTACCTTAAATTGTTCTTCTTGGATTACTGACAGTGGTGAACATTTCTTCCTGTTTGAATTTCATATTTTCACTATTGAGCAGTGCTACTTCATAAATTTACCGCCCCTCTTCTCTGCTGATCACATTTGGCTAGAAATGTATCTATGTGTTACTTAGCCCTGTATTGAAGTTCAAATGTGGTTTCCCTGATCAGCATTTTCCTACTTTCACTTCTTTAAACAATCAGAATTATTAATCTTTTCAGGTTTAGAAACCTGAATTTGATGACATGAGATGATATAAGGCTATAGGGGGTGGGAGGATGGAGAAGAAATGGAACATTCTTAATGAAGTTCTTGCTTTATAATTTTCCACTCTGACAAATGTTTTGCTAGGCACAAACAAAAACAAGCCAGATACAATGTTCACGTTAGAGAAGGTTTTGTTTTCCCTGGAAAGTTGCAGCTGCGCTTGAGTAAGATTATTTACCCTCCCCAAGACCCAGGTTAGGACCCCATCACGCATGCTGGCTCACCCCAGTGCCTAATGCAGAGTGGGTCCCCAACAAATACTAACTGAGGAGATCTGTGTGACAACCTGACAACCCAACTGACTTAGACATTAAGGCTTCTTAGAACTCCAGAGAAACGAAATCCAGCTGCATAACATTCCTTGATCCCAGCAGATCCCCCCGAGGGTGGCAAATGCAGTCACACACGCCTGCGGTGCTTCAGAGAATAAAAGAGAATGGATTTCCAAGCACGATACATCTCAGGTAAGATGCAAACTATTTAAGATACGATGCTTCACACACATTCGTGTGTCTCCTAGAAATCGGAACTGCACGATGCACCATCCTGCACGCTGTCCCCTGCCCCACCTTTCCCCCCCAACTCCTACTTCCCCAACGGTTCCCAATGAATAACTGCAAAACCACACATTTCCCTCCTTACATCTGAGTAATTCCTTTGTCTAGCCACTCTGGGAACACGAGAGTTTTTAACTAAAGCTGACTGGTGTTTAGGGGCATTGTGTTCGGAGGGTGTGTGCACAGCATGGAGTATTGTGCTTTGTAGCTCCGTTAGCTCCTATCAGGATGAAAGTATAATGCCCCAAAGCCATAATTATGTGGCTACTTTCTAGTGTTTCCGAAGAGAAACAAAATGTGGTCGTCCTGAAGCGGCACAGAAAGGGTGAGAAGGAGGAGCGCTGTTCCAATGCTAGATAGTAGCTGGGCTGCCGAACTAACAAGGTTCTTTAAGCCATGCCATAAAGTTTACGGCTTGATTTATTCCAATAGACTAGAACAGTTAAGAAACAATTTGCATCATAGCAGGGTAATGCATATTGCCCAAGAAGGAAAACTATGTCATTACAGAATTCACTTAATGGAAACACAGGGTCAAAAAGAGTAACAGTCTGTGACACTGAGAGCGGGCACAGGGACTACGCTGTTGACATATAATTATATTTAGCAAACAGTGTAAAGCGGGGAGATCTGAACAACAGTGCATTTTGACATCTTTACGTTGGGTTTCCTTAACAAGACCAAAACAAACCCAAACAAAAAACAACCGAAACCTTCATCTCGTTACAAACAAAACACAACCGTAACCTTCATTTCATTAAAAATGATGCTGACTGCTTGCAAAATGTGGTTTCTGGTAACACTGGGGTTAATTCAAAGTTGTTAAAGCCACCACAAAGTTAATTTGTTTATCTTGTACAGCAAAATTAGCGTCATTCTTAACTGTTGCCTGAAGTTTTTATCCAAATCGCTTTCTCTTTTCAGTAATGCTTTGCACTAAATAGTAGGAATAGACATCAGCTAACCCTTGGAGTTCATAAAGATGATGAGAAATAGTCTCTCTTCCATTGAATAACTTCAGAAATACTTGCTTTAATGAGCATTTCTTGAAGGTGCTTATACACCAATTTATATTTGGTCTGAACTTCCTTAATATCTGAGTAAACACTCCTGTCATGACAATGATTTAAAAATGAACACGAGTGTGACTACAGTCAAGTCAGAAACACCAGACTGCTTTCGAAAAGATGATACAGAGCAGTATCCGTGTCAAAGATAAACACATTCTTAAAATGTTGTGCAGTAAATAGACTATTCACATAAATTAAAAATGATCATTTCCATCTTTTAAGAGCCTTTTCAAAACACTTTGGGCATGAAACTCAAATGCTAAATAATCAAATTTCAGATTGCCCCCAACCCACTCATTACCCTGACCGAGAGCATTTTTCTTTTCCTTGTCCTTTGATGCCAATTCTTTCTGGCCCTCGTGGCTACAGGTCGTATTTCCATTCCCATCACTCAAATTATCTTAAAATAAGGTGTTGGTCAAGTAATTCAGAAGGAGTGTGTAGACAAGTGGCCTATTCTAGGAACGGCCAGTGCTGCAAACATTGGATTGGTTTCTTCCTTTAAATTGGGCAACGGTGGACCAGATACTTGCTCCAAGGGAGAGACTGTCCCTCTAGAGCATCCCCCACAAATCCAAGCATCTGGAACAATGTGGCTTCTTTTCTCTTTTAAGCTTTCCCTGGCAGAGAGGGAGTTGCCCCAGTTGGGGCTCTTCTGCAGCCATGCACCTCCCCCCACACACCCACGGGGGGAGGGAGGGTGTGCCCCGGCTGCCAGGCATCACACCTCTCCTGTCGTTGGACCGGTCCTAGTGCCATTCAACCCATTCACACGCAGCAGGGACAACCATCGCCCATCACTTCATTCAGTTATATGGTGCTCATTAGACTGCCGTCTGCTGCTATAATGCTCCTATTAATTTTCCTTTTGATATTTTAAGAGCAATCTATAAATCATGCCGCCTTTCATTTGTGCCATCATTAACGCCTGGTCATAACACTTCAGCGTTGTGTTTGCGGTTCAGACTATCACACGGCCAAGTAAACAAGCATTCTTTTTCCGCCTGCTAGGTTCGGCGTGCCCGCAAGTTGAACAAACGGACAGAGACACATGCCGATTTTAGGAGGAAAAGGTAATGTGGCTTAAAGGATGGCCTGAGATGCCAAGCAGAGGGAAAAAAAGCAAATGAGTCACCCGCATTATTGCTCAGAGCACTTGTAGGGCTGCATGAAGCCGACTGCTTTTATGGGAAAGTTAGTAAATGGTCCTTTTACGTGCTAACCAAGCTAAACATTTCCAGAAGCACGAACTTTTACCAAGATTCTAGGAAAGCAGAAATGACAGAAAAGGTATCAAGAGCAGCTTGAGAAGGGCTTGTGTGCACACCGAAGCGGGAGACTGGGACCTGCACGCAGAGACCTTCTGGGTGGACAGTACTCACACGGCTTGCATAGGGGATCTGCCCGGACTGCTGTCACTCTCGTTGCTGTTGGTATGTTCCATTGCCCCGTTCAGTTCTTCCCGTATTGCGCTGGCTAAGTTGCCCAGAGTGGGATTTCCCATCGAAGCGGTAGTGTATAGAGGTATACTATTCTCAGCCATTGAAGCCTGTTAGCAACGAAGAGAAAATATATGAGGACGTAGGGTAAGCCCAGACAGGGAAGCCGTTAATTACGGGTGTAGTCAACAATCTTCCGCTTAGGTTCTTAGTAGGGCTGGCCAATACAAGTTTCTAACGGGGAGAAGGATTTTGCTTTAAAAGGCAGACTTGCGACACATGTCCCATGCTTGGTTTCCAAGAGCTAGCTGGGACAAAGCGCTGGTGGGGAGGGAGGACTCAATTTAGCCCTGCTGGGTAGAGTCACGTGGTTTAGACAGGGCTATCTAAAATGAGCTTTCTGTCTGATGCCTTCTTTCAGGAGGAACTGAATATTTCCAGATCACAGGGAAATATAATGGAATTTTCATTTCTTTATCCACTTTGATGACTCCAGTATTGGATAGTAAAGATTTGATCCAATTATTCTGGCCTCACAGCTCAAACTTATGAGAACTTCCATAAACATTTACCTCTTAGATCCTATAGAAAAGGAAGAGATTATAGAATTGGAGTCCATTTTTATCTGCCACCATCGTTTCGGTTTTAATGATTTCTGAATCTGTTTAGTGTAGTTTGTGTGATGTTACCCCACAGTTATCTCAATCTTTCAGACTCAGACCGGTCAATCTGGAATTTTAGGACTGAAGGAAAAAAAAAATCTGTCACTCTACATGAGTGCCAGCCCAAAAGAGTGGAAATGGAGAAAAGAGGAAATCCTGAAGTCTGTGGTGGGATACTGTTCACTTCTCATCCTCCTGTGTTTGAATAAAATGACCACCCAGTCTCAAATGCAGACAGTCATTAAATACAGCTTTGGACTAAAGTATCCATATTGTTTCATTGGGTAGAGATTATGACCCAGTAACTTTTCATTTTATTGAAGAGGACAGACTTTTAAAAACTGGCAGTGTAATTAGACCAAGATTTATCAAAACTGTCCTCTTGCAGACTACAATATGCCTGGTTTTCCATCCTAATGAGGAGAAAGTACAATCACAAGACAATCTGGCTTGGTGACTTCAATTGGCCAGTCACACAAGAGTCCGAAGTATTCTAGAAATCCTGGCTCTAGAGAGAAAGAAAGAGCCAAAAATGAAGACAGAGCGGGCTGCAGGGAATGTGCCTATTAGGACAACTGCAGCCTCGCTCACTGTACAAACTCCAAAGCCAGGAATGCCTTCTTAGATACAATCCCCTGGACGGGTCTCCACTTAACACAGCATTGGCCAATGGACGATTTCAAAGACAGGCTCTGTGCAAGCCCACAGATTTCCCTTCCCTCCACTTCTGGATTTATATAACCGCCTGCTTTTAAAAAGTGGGAAAAAAAAAATCCTGTTTTTATTTCCAAATGTGGTGAACTCATTTTGATGAACAGTAAATCTGAACATTCCTTCGCTCTCCTACAGTTTGTTAAATAATTTGCATCAAGTACTTTTTTTCCAACAGATCTCTTATAATCGCAATAAAGCATTTTTTCTTTTTTTGGCAGAGCAAAAAGCAAGAACGGTTGCCAGATTATTTTTTAATTTTTTTTTTTTTTTGCAAACTGCAGCTGGACAAGCATCTTAACGGCCTTCATTTGAGACAACTCAGTGGTCATGCCTCTCCCAGTCATGGAAGTTCTGCTCTCATGTCACCATGACACAGTCAGAACGTGGCCCAAGTGAGGCCATCTCTACAGCATGTTTTGTTTTTTTTTTTTTTAGCAGCTTCTCCAGTCAAAAATGGAGAGGTAAAGACAAAACTGAAATGTTTGTAAGAAGGTGTTCTATGGCATAAGATGGTCACCCTTACAGACAGAGCAACCTTCTTAGGATGATGTGTTCTCCTTGGCTCTCGAAGTGTTCTAGGTGAAGGTCGTTAAAACATGGGCTGAGGCCCAACAGCCACGGTGGTGAAAGGCATCCAAAAGGCAAGCACTTCTGTTGATCCCTCGGTGGTGAGAGAGACCAGAAAGAAGGAAAGCGGAAAACCAGCCTGGTCCCTTTAAGAAAATGACCAGGTGGGAGGATGGTGCCTGATAGGCCAGAGAGCCTCTTGCACCTTCTTTGTTGAGTGAGTGATCAAAGCAACCCACCCAAGGCTAGAAACATTAACAAAGTGGTTTTTTTTTTGTTTGTTTTTGTAGTTGATGTCTACGGAGGAGCAGGTGGGGTATGATTTTTATAACAGACTTCATTATATAAATGGTCCTGTGTATAGTATGTGGTTTCCTATCAAACTGGCACCTCTGCCCAAAAAACAAAACCACCCCCGCCCCCCCCCCCAAAAAAACTAAAAAACTAAGGTGCCTCAGTCCATAAGTACCACTGCTCCTGGAACACGAACCATGCTAAGATCCTCGGGGGGAAGGCAGTCTATAAATAAGAAGCTTTACGGTTACCCTTAGTTACTTCACTTTTTCAGAGCATAATGCAATCTGTCTCACGTCCAATGTTTTATTTCTGTAGTGGATTCTGCTGTCCTATTTTATATATTGTATATCATGCATTATGTTGCTCTAGTAATCTTTTTAAGATGTTGTTCCACTATTATTTTTACTTGTCTTGAAAAATGGAAATGGGCAATAATGGGAAGGAAAGCCTGCTGGTAGAATCCTGATTTAATTTGCACAGCAGAGAAAGTTACATGAGACGGTCTACTGACCGTGGATCCAAAGTCCTCGACAAGAGGAAAAAAGATCCATTCCTCCAATCATGAATTTATATCAATTTATTCACCTCACCTCATTATGCACATAAAGGCTTGTTTTGGGCTACCCCTGGAAACGAGAAGGGGGAGGTAGGATGCCAAAAACAAATGTTTTCCAGAAGAAACATGAGCAGTTTTGTCATGATAAGGCATACTAATTTAAATCAGTCAGTCACATAGTTAAGAGAATCCAGAGGATCACTGCTTTTTTTTCCTTTCCGCCTCATGAATGTAAAATGTGCTTGTAATCTTAATACTCTTCCAGATAGAGCAGCCTTTAAATTCACACTTCACAAGACTCCAGGGAAAATAAGTTACTAATGAATGGTATTTACAGTGGCGGCATCTAAGCGTGCTCTCATTTGCTTTTCTAAAGTTACTGTGTAAACTACAAGTAATTATCAGAAACTCAGAAAGTAGTTCCTCCTATTAAAGTTGGTACAGGCTAAAAATAAATAAATATAATTACTGAAAAGCTAAGTTCAGTGCATTTGCCTCTGCACGGAAACTGCGTTAAAGGTGTACTGTGCTGAGTGATCTGGGAAACTGTGTAGGGTGCAGGTTAGGTGCTCGATAAATATTTGTTCTAGGAGTAGTGAGAACCACGTGCCCGTCCTGATCTCCTGCCTCTTCACCCACTCTGTTCCCATAATGTCAAGTAGCTCATCCATTTTTCATTCTCTTCCCTGACCCCTTAAGGAGCGTTTTGAAGACACTCCTGTTTGTCTGTAAATGTTTCTGTGTGTTATGGCCCTTTGTGTGTTATGGCCCTTTGGAGGGGCACAAGACATTGTACTATATACCCATTTTGGGGCAATAAAGCCCCCAGCAAGAACCCATGCTGTAAAGATCTGGGATGGCCTGGGATTATATATGTACAGAATATGTCTTTTTCAAGGTAGCAAGATTCCCTTTGCCCCTGCCTAGATTGTTCTAGAAGACAGGCCAACTCAAACTGGGACCACTGAGAAATGGGATAAATAAAAAGGCTCGGCTGGCTGCCTTGGTAACTCGTATCTGGGTGGTAAACTCACTCCTGCTCAAAACTAGTGTCTTCATCCTCCGGTAATGCTGGTTATGTAATGAGTGCTTGGTTTGTCAGTAGGAAACAAACATTCTGTATGCTGCTTATGTAATCTTGAGCAATCTGCTGGAAACCTAAAGAGTGTTCTTCAACACCCCTCTAGTTTAAACAAAAACAGTTTACTTTTACCAAGTGAACCAAACCTGGATCCCCGCCCCCCACCCCGGCAAAGGACTAAAGATGCTAAAACAGACTTTAGAAGAAGAAATAAAAAGCTCTGCTTTCTCTTTAAACCCGTGAACAATAGAAGGTCATGTGATACAGTGGCCTATCATCCAGCACATTAATAGCTGTGCTAGAGTAATTACACTTGTGGTATTTTTGCCTCAAGTGAAATTCTGAAATAAGAGGATGGAAATTATGATACTGCTGATAAATATTAATAAGTGAACTTTTAATTTTTTTGCCACAATATTCAAAATGCTAAGCATCCCACTAATGCTGAAGCAGCCCGATGTGTTTGCCTCCAGGGAGTACGATGCTTTGTGCACTTAAGAAAAAAGTTTAACGGAATTAAAATTTAATATCTAATTAGAGCGAGGCTAATATATTTTGAAATGAGCGGGGGAGACATGTGCCTCCGCTGCATATTCGGGACGACCATTAATCTTACCTGTAAAGCTGCATTGAGGGGTGTACAATAGGCGTGGCTGCTCTGCATGTTTTTAATAAGGGAAGGGTTACTGCATAAGAAAAAGATAAAAACTCAAAGTTAAACGCAATCAGCCCCTGAGTTCCGAGCCAAGTTTTATCTTAAGCTTGCTGGTCTCCCTTCCAAATCAGAAATGTCCCCCATTAACAAAACCAAAGGAAACTTAGGTTTTCTCCACAGCCCCCCGGCTTTACGGGGCTGGTGTGTGTGGATACCCTGGGCTAGGACTTTGCTCTTCAAGGAAACTGGGTGTAAAATTCGGGCTTCAGTTAGACCAGCCCTGGGCACTCCCCTCCACTGAGGCTTCTTTTTTTTCTTCCCCTCACACAACATCTTGACCTCTCCGCACATTTTTAGTAGCTGCCGTGAGTCCAACAGGAAGGCAGAAGCTCTGGGGGGTGAGGGGAAGTCAGTCAGTGAGCTGACAGCAGGGTTTCCTGGGAGTTGTTAGCTAGAGAATCGTCTCCATGATATTAACTCTGGAATGACCGTAGGAGGTAAAGGCAGGATGGCTCTTAAAGGAGATCCCCCTCTGAGGCACATTTAGTGCTAAAAGAAGATGGGGAGAAGGGGGGTGACAGGGAAGGGTTGTTCCCAAGGAAGGCAGGGAGGTTGGGTTGAGATCTTTCTTGCACAGCCAAATCTGGGAGGTTGTAAGAATACTGGATGCTGTGTCCATGAACTAATCCAACGAAGACAAGATACCATTCAAAAAAAATCTCTAGGAAGGAGAGGCTTCCAAGTAGGAAGTCACCCAGATTGATCACTGGCCTTTAAAGGAAGTGTAGGTGCTGTTACGGATTTCTCTCTCCTCATTCATTGCACTTACATTATTCTTATAACTGAGCGGGCAAATACCAAGAAGTGTACCCTGTTAAATACACATTTTAACTCTCCATAAAAGTTGCCTTTTTCCTTGGGAGGAATTACTTTCAAGCCAAGGTATTTACTCTTAAAGGGTCCCCATAAGCTGCTCAATCAAAATATGACCAATATGTGCATTAAAGACGTCAAAAAAGCATTATTCAAGGCACTGGTGTTCCAAAGAGAAACAAGAGAAATACATGTACGAATCACACAATTTAGTTCCATTGCAGAAAAGCCGTGGTACCTGCTACTTGGTGAGATGCAAAACTACATGGGATGAGTCAACCATGCAAAGCCAAAGCAACAGCAGAAAAAACAAAACAAAAGCAAGTAAAGGCTCTTACTGTGTGACAAGCTCGTCAAAGTTTTCATCGGGGCAGTATTTGCGAGGACGGCCTCGTTGAATATGGCGGCCACGTTTAAACTCTTCATCATCAACTGTCCAAAAGGACCCAAACTCATCCTCTACTCTGATAAAGCACTTATGCAGTGAGAGGTTGGTGCGAATGGCACCCTGGGATAGGAGCAGCGGCAAAGGAGATGGAGTGGCAACAAAAGGAGACGGGGTTGGGGGGGGGGGCAGAACAGACATCCAATACAGGGAACAGGAAAAAGAAAATAAAATGCAATAAGCATAAGCAAATGGTTTGTGAGGGTTAATATGCATTGCCACCTAAAGCTACTAGCGTGGGATGCAACAAAGACCGGCAAGCAGGGCAGGGGGACTGGTGGGTATACAAAACAGGAGGGATGAAATGCTTTTTTGCTTCCCTTAACTGAGACAACGTGAAACCGGTTCGTTGGTCTAACACCGTCTAGCAGCCAAAAGCCTCTACTTGACACTTGTTAGCACAATCCAAGCTAGGCTAAGAAGTTCAAACATGGTGGACGTACCCACTGATCTTTTGTGGCCTTCGTTTTTGGAATTCTACTTCATCCACTGTCCATACTGCCCCTTTAACGTTTTCTACTCGCACAAAACACTTGTGAAGACTAAGATTATGACGCACTGCATTCTGCAGCAAGTATAAAAGAGAGAACATTTACATTTTCTATAAGAAAAGACTCCAAAAACAGCAGTAAATTCAGCCTCACAGTCCACATTTGTCAAACCATCCCCAAAAGCTGTAGCTAACCACCCCCGTGGATGACCTTCTTGAGGTTAAGGATGCCTTTTCCAAATGTAAAAATAAACAAAAAACAAAATTATCAATTAATTATACTCCGGCACTTACATCTAGTCTCTGGTAGTAGCGAACCAGAAGAAATAGTTAATATGCATATAAGCCCAAAATAGGGGTCACAGTAAAAATCTGAAAATATTGTTAATATGACTTCAAAATAAACATGTAGAGCATAAAACTGTCCCCTTTAAACTTATCTCCCATATAAAAGGGTATTTTAAAAAAACATGCAAGATGATAATACTGTTAAATACATTTTGTTCTTGTTCTTTTTTTGAAAGTTTTGGCTTTAATACCTTCTACGCGTTTTGTCAGATTTATCTAAATTGGATTTTACCACTGAGAGCATCACCTCCTGCAGCTGACTGGATGAGGGAATGCAATGATCCCCAGTACATCAGTATCCATCATCAAACTATGTCTCTTACCTTCCCAAATATATACAAACCTTGGCCCTTACTATGGGCAATTACCTTAATTAACAAAAAATGTCAAAGAAACACCTGAGTAGAACTCTCAATGGCAAAAAGATGATACTCCTGCCGCTGATGGTTCCTAAAGACACACATTTCTATCCCCCGCCTCCATGTTTCTTTTTTATGGTTAAATGTCATTTCTAAGATCATTCTTAAACGGAGACCCTGGACATCCACAGTCCACCAAAAAGGAGGATCTCAACTCAAAGGTGAGGAGCCTTAACATCTCCTCTTTGCTTTGATTTTCAGAAAAATCCACGACCCATGCTGGGGTCTGGTACAAACATGGCTTCACTTCTTTAGCCTCCGTGGTTGAACTTGCTGATCGAGACTCCAAATTAGACATGAGGACATTACAAAAAGACCCATGCCATTGACTCAAACCTTTCTTCTTACAGGGCATAAGCAGGTGACTACTGTGGCCTGAACAGCGGATGCATACATCCCATTTCCCATACGCCATGTAGCATATCCTCCACTCCATTCCAATGATGCTGCCATCGCTCAAGCGTGGGGCAACCCACCCCTTGGTCTACCTGCAAGTATTTCCGCTCTCAAGATACTGAGTGCTGTTTCCACTTTTAGATAATCACCACTGGTGACTCTGAGGAGTCAGACGAGATAGTGCTGATTTTTCTTTTTCGATGTGGAATATTTAAGGAGATAACGAGACATGTTTTATTACATAGCTAAGTTATCCACTACTCGCAAGGAGAATCCACAGGATAAATTCTCAGAGTTTTTGAGCTATGTCAGCATAATTGGGGTAGGTTGAAAACATCCAGATGACCATGAAAGGACACCCCTGATTCAAACAGGTTGGACAGGTTGGCATAAAAACAAAAGAAAAATCTCTGAAAACGTTTGTCATGTTATATTTATACTTGGTAGGACAAATTTATTCATGTATAGGTTGCAGTCTGCTCTTTCAATAAGCATTTTCTTTTTTATGCTGTACCAATGCATGGCACAGGGATGCGAAGGGTCTACTCTTACCTCCTAGAACAATACTTAGGAGGTTAAGATAAATAAACCCAAATTGTCTTTTAAAAAACTACAGACAGATCATGTATATGTATGGAAGACATAGTGGGGAAAGAAATCAACATTTCCCCTCAACCTTATCACTGTCTAATACTTCAGAATAAGCATCGAAACATTTAGAACTGCAGAAGATCTAAGGAAACCATGTCTGCCAGAAGGACTACTATAGATCTGTCTGAAGCGTGTGGCCATGTAAGTAAAGATAGAAAGTCAAACTTAAGTTTTATTTTCCAAGACTGTACATCTAAGCAAAAGCATCCAGAAATCAAAGAGTTGCCCAAAAACGTGAGTAAGCCCTTTTCAGCCATGACTTAAATTGGGCACTTCATCTTTTGTTTAGGATTACAACAGAAATAAGGACACGTAGAGAAAATTATACGTATTTATGAGTCATTTGGTACTTGATCTAGGATTGTTTATATTGATGGCACTTTTTCCTGCAGTTTGCAAAAATGAAAAAGTTAAAGCTGTAGATCTGAGCTTAAATATCATATTCACAGCCAGTAATTATTTTTAAATTTGATCATTTTCTATTTATAAAAGGCAATTTGAAGAAAATGTCTGCTTCATGCTTATAGTTCCTACATTTTGAAAGGCATTCATAGCTAAAGATACTTTGCATTTTATCTCCTAAGGGAGGCTGAGGAGAAGCGGGTAAGGTTTTGAACATAGGTTCCCTTCAGCACCCATGTGTCTTAATGGAAATAAAAAAGGATACTTTGAGCCATAATAGATATTCATGGCTGTGTGAGGTTGATAAATTAATTCTACGGTTATATTCATTTTCTTTTAAAATGCTAATTTATCAAGAACATAAAAGAGGCAATGTACTTTGTTTTTGTTTTTCTCCTATCTAAAATTTAAAAAGTAGCAGAGCAAATTTCCTTTGCATCCTATAATAAATCCCTATCATATTTATAATAATGACATGTAAAAATATCCTAAGATATTTGCATTTTACATGGGTGTGGAATTTGGGGACTATAAGAATTCTAGATAGGAGAAAAGCATGAAAAAAAATTGTCAGGTTGGACCTGCTCTCTTCTATAGCAAGAATATTTAAACCAAGAAAGTAAAAGCAGTAAAATCCAAAAATTTGTGAGGGCTTCATTCAACGCAGTGGAAGAAATACTAAAAGAATCTATGAGCCCACTGCTGAACTGGAAATGAGGTATATCACGTGATCCTCAAGCCTTGTTAGGGCATCCCATGTGGAGCTGAGGGATTTGATCCATTTTATAGCAAATGGTGTAAATGGTGTTACAGTGAAGTTGGATAATTTCCTTTTCCAGATTTTCTATGAATCTGTGATGGATAGAGTGGTGTAACAAACAAAAACAACCCCCCCCCCCAAAAGCCCAAAACTAAAACCAAAAACTTAATAATATATGGTGCTCCCCTCTGATATTTGCCATACACAGTGCTAGTCCTGAGACCACACAGCTTTCTTTACTAATTGTGGTAAGGAGCTTTTTTTTTTTTTTTTTAAATCCAACCAATGAAAGTTATGTCAAGTCTGTCTGATCATTTCTCCCGGTTAAAAAAATGTTAGCCATGCATCTCAGCAAATTCTGGTGGTGGCTGATGACCGAAAAGCATGAGGTTTGTGTAAGTAAGAGGACAACCTCAATATCGGGGCGACAGTGTCATCCGTTCCTTTTCCCTACATATTGCAACCGGACAGAAAGGACTTGACTGGCTGGTCCATCCAAAATCTGATGCCAGTGTAATGGGAGCCTTCTATCCCGGCATTCTAACCCCAACAGTACTCTTCTCTCAATAAAATACTCCCATAAATCTGACTTTTTGAGTGTATCAAAACAATACACATGTAACTTAAAACACCTGCATTTTTTCAACAACAAACTCTTTTATAAATGGTAAGTAAGACCCAAGCCTAACAGGCCTGCGAGAAAGCTTACCTTCCATGTGGCCGCATTGCGTCGAAAGTAAGCAAACATTCTTGTGAACCAGTTATAGATTTCATTTAGTGTTAGCTGCTTTTCTGGAGATTCGAGAATGGCCTATGAAGCAAAAGTAACAAAAGAAGATAATTTATGACCAAATCAGCAAAATCGTCATTATACAGTTTCTTGAAAATATAAAATAACCAGGATTCAGAGCTAAAGCCCAAGAAAGGTTTCACGAAATGATCTAAGATTAATGGTTGTATTTAACAGTTCAATAGCAAAATTCAAAATGGAGTTATCTAATTGTTTTGAGTTTTTATTTCTGTTTCCGTACAGAAATATTAATTTATTAGTCATTCATAAAGCAGAATCAAAGAGAAATGCAAAACATTTCACTAGCTGATTAAAGCTCAGTAATTATTTAGAGCTCAGATTAATTCTAGGGATCAGAGATTACTGTAGCTTGTGATAATTGACTTGCCATCTTTAAACAGGCTCATTTTCACTGTTGTGTGAAATGAATTTCCTAATAATCACATCGTATTGTAATACTTAATCAAAAGCAATTATGTTATATATTGCAGTTTTAAAAAACCTTATAGAAAAGGTTTTAGCATGCTTGCATACTAAACGGTTTTAAATCTACTTCATCAATATAATATATCCATGTACACATATACCTTTTGATAGAATTTCACATACTGTGTTATTTACTTACCTGCCTAATTAAAGATGCATATGTAAATGGTGGTCTAACTTCTGCGTTCTTATAAAATTCTTGGTTCTGCGCAATATCTGCTAAATAAGAATCATTGTCCTATTAATTATCACTTTTTAAAAAGAGGCTGGTCTACAAGAATTGCATATTACAGTTCTACATGAGGCGAAAATGGAGTATCTACCTGAAGAAATGGGCACGTTGTATTTGTCTGAGTACCGCCTGCGGATGGGTCCCACCGTATGCATGCTGGTGGTGGTGATGACGGAGGGGCCTTGGGTGACAGGAGTGATGGGGGCGGTTGGGGTCGTCGGAGTGTGAGGTAAGCTCTGTGGAGAAGCCTCAGATGCAGACTTGGAGAGTGTGACACTTGATACCAGATTCAGCTGTGAGGAAAAGAAGAATTCTTAGAAGAGCTTCAGACAAAACAGGGAGCAAGCAGGCATCTGAAATCCAGAATACCACAGGGGACGCCTGGCTAGCTTTACTTCTCTAAGTAGATGCTTCTAATCAACTGAAATGTGAGGCGAGTTCCCATGTAAAAACAGTTCACAAGTGGTTAGTTTAAAAATCTCTCTGGCCATGTTCTCCTGACCCCTTGGTGACACAGGTGTTTTCCAAAGACGGTGAAAAATGAGTGTGTGCAGAAAGGGGTGACCTAGCCCAGTGAAGTTTGACAAGTTCTGGGTCAAAACATTCCTTGAGTCACGGCTTTGAACCCTCTTGAGCAGCCTACTGTGCTTGGCAAACCTCCTGGAGTGGGTGGAGTCCTGGTAGGGCCAGTGAACACCAACATTCTAGAAGCCACCAGCTGGGATACGTTGGTCTAGACCTGAGCTCTCCAACAGCACTTTCTGCAATGTGCCAGTGCCAGTGTGGAACTGTTTTTACTTTTTATCAAAATTAAACTTTTGTTTAAATAGCCACATGTAGCCAGTGGCCACCACACTGGCCAGCACGGGGACAGGCTACTTAACTCCATGATGAACCTTCACCGATGGGGGCCACCACAAGGATGTTTGGCCTGTGGCTCCACTTAAAAAGAGTGGCACTGGGGCACCTGAGCGGCTCAGTCGGTTGACTGTCCAACTCTTGATTTTGGATCAGGTCATGATCTCCAGATGGTGGAATCGAGCCCCACGCTGGGCTCTGTGCTCAGCGCAGGGTCTGCTGGAGATTCTCTCTCTTCCTCTGCCCCCCCCCCCCCAATAAATCAATCAATCTTAAAAAAAAAAAAAGAGTGGCATTGATCCAGTAAGACATCATTCAGTTATATCAGTTGGCAAAGACTAATCTTTGAAAGCTTTATGTGTAATTTTCATTAAACTCTATCAAATAGAGGACTGGAATCTATTAAAAAAGATGACATATGAAACATCGGGAACTCTAAAAATTTTTTTTCTTTGAGTTTCAAATGCTTAGTAATATAATGGAATCTAGAGCATCAACTGAGGAAATGAGTATTATTTATTTGAAGTCGTACAAAGGAAAATGAAGGAGTACCGTTTCCTTCCTTCCATTAGCCTTCACCTCGAAGTGCTTCTCTTATTAATAAAAAAAAAAAAAAAAAAAGGGCTCGTCCCCCTACCCTGAGTTTGTTCTTCCAGAAATACTATGTCTAGCTATACTACAGAACTTGGCCTTTTTCAACATATTATTACAATTTACACAGAATTGATATCTCAGATACTTACAGCAGGCCCCAAATCCAAGAAACTTAATGCAAAGTAGGCTTACTTGTAACATTTTCTCAAACCAGATTTCAAATCATTTAACAAAGTAAGTACTTCATTATGGCAGTAGCCCTACGGACGAGGCATTATTTGTGGGAGGTATTAAAAATGAGATTCCTCTGGGATCATAAAGAACACATTAAAGTTCCAATTTGTTGAGAAGATTCACCTCTACTCACACTCCAGTAATGAAAAAGGCCATGAGAATGCCTCTCATATGGTTAGGGTAGTTCCACTAAAAAAAAATAAATAAATACAAACCAGGAATTTGAAGAAAAGAAGGATCAAATATTGTTGGGTAAATATTCAGGGAAAAAATGTAAATATGGTGCTGGAAAGGGTATGGTGGGTGGCAAGCCTGTAGTTGTGCTTTCCTCTTTTTTTTTTAATTGGGTGCTTAACAGTTTTTATTTCTTAAATATTCCTTTAACATACTTTTTAAAAAATATTATGTTAATCACCATACATCATTAGTTTTTGATGTAGCGTTCCATGATTCATTGTTTGCATATAACACCCAGTGCTCCATGCAGAGCGTGCCCTCTTTAATACCAATCACCAGGCTAACCCATCCCCCCACCCCCCTCCCCTCTAGAACCCTCAGTTTGTTTCTCAGAGTCCACAGTCTCTCATGGTTCATCTCCCCCTCCGATTTCCCCCCTTCATTTTTCCCTTCCTACTATCTTTTTTTTTTTTTTTTTTTGCTTTCCTTTTTAATTCCCCTGGTGAAATGCTGACTCAGCTAATGCCAGACCCTTCCCCCAACCCCCATGCCCTAGAAGAGCAAGCTATGGAGAGGACACTGCTCTTACAACCCCCACCCCCCACCCAGCAAACTGGGCCAATGCTGTGAGTTGCTTTCTTTTTTATTAGTGCTGGAAACCTGCCTTCCTGACACGTATTTGCGGACTAAGTGCTTACAGTTCAGAGTAGCAGCCTTGGGATGGAGCAGAATTGAGAAGCCACGGGGGAAGGTTGGGGCTGACCTCCTCTGTGCCTTGGGCCTTAATCACTGACCAAGTGCAGCAACCAGTCTGTATAAGCATCAGCCCAAGCAACGGGTCAAGGAAATTAGTGCAGCAAAGGCTACTGCTCATAAATACACAGCTTTTAAAATTCAGACGCTGCTAGTCCTAAGAATATCCGAACACTCTGGAAAGTCATGGATACCATTTGTATAAACCGTGTTGTAAACCACCTGCCATTGCGTGATTTCACTTCATTCTCATACCATCACTAATAAGTAAGATGTCACTGCTCACGTTTTACAGATGAGCAAACTGAGGCCAAAGATCGATGAAATGACTTGCCTATATCCACAACCAGTCAAACACACACTCGTGATTCTAGGCTCTCTGTATAAGCATCTTATGCCCAGTTAATGGGAAAAATAAACACTAGACAGTTTCATTTTTCTGTATGCTCATTTTTGGAAAGGATTCAATGAATAGCTTTAGTCCCTGCTTATAAATGACATTCAATAAATATTACTGAACAAATATAAGGCATTTGAAACTGAAATGACAAAAACAGGGACAGAACATTCATTCGCTGCCCCTGAAGAGCTTACCATCAAAAACAGACACCGGTCCAAGGACAGCGTGCGTTAACCACCACTAAGCAATTCTGAGGACTAACTCTACTTTTTGGCTTTTCTTTTCCACTTAAGGAGAGTACCCTAAACACCATAACTTTCTTAAACACTTAACGAGAATTATAAATAGAACGGCCTCAAAGAATATGCCAGCTGCTCATTTTGTGAGGAAGGGCACCAAGTGTACGGGACTCTAAAAAATCAAAACTCATGTAAACATTCAGCAAGTACAAATCCATCTTGCGGTGCTCACATAGGAGAACAGACACGTCACGTGGTACTGGGTCATAAAATGTGAAAAGAATGGGACATCTGTAGCTTTTACCCAAGGTCTTAACACCTGGACTGTCTGTACCGAAAAAGCAACAGTGAAAAATAAAATCCCTCCAGGTTAGCACAACCCACAAAGAAATACACGGTAGAATTTTCTGGAGGCTTTTGAACATAGGTAGCAAATGGAAATAAACACAAAGCCAGAAGGGAGCAGAGAGGGGGCTTACCAGGCTTCACAAATGACACCGTGATTCACACCCACTGCTGGGCTGTCTCTAATAAGCCACAGAGGAAGCGGCCAATCTCAGCTAATTACCAGATAAAAATGTATTGTAAGGGTTCTAATTAGGAGACGCGGATGGAGGTGATCTAATGATTAAATGCTGCATTCGAGTGACCCCACCATCAATGTGCAGTGGTGCAAGATGTCACTGGAATATTTTGTAGAAACAGTAATTTTACTTCGAGGAGGGGAGGCAGTAATATTTGTAATGATGGCTGTGAGGTAAACTAATTAAAAGACAGTTCCTACAGGAAGAGGGTGGCTGAGAGCAGCTGTGGCCATTCCACAACCAAGTGCCAAGTCTCAATAGAGGAACGGCAGTCAAGTGGAAAATTTCTGCCTGACCTCTGCCCTTGCTATTAATTTGCAGGAAAACTAATGACACATATACATATTCCCACAAAATTGTTCTAATTGCTAATTTGCCAAAGGAGCCCAGATTCCAAATTAAACATGACTGTAGTCTGTGAGGGAAGGGAGAACAAAAAGCTGTAAACTCCAAACAGAGGGTGCTTCGCCTCGCAAAATCATTTGAAGACTGAACCAACAAGTTAATGAAATGTCAACCTTGTCAACTGCTATAGAAGTTTGTTAACTTTCAAACTTTTGTTTGATGATCACATGCTTGCCTTGAGGAGAAACCATTTTCGGGGAGGAAGGTCACGAGGGAGAGATAAGATGGAGCATGGGGAAGGATTCAAAACAGGCTCTGTGTTCAAACCAAACCTGCTCTTTTAATTAAGGTCTCTGAAAACAGTGGACTCCCCCCACCCCCCCCCCAAAAAAAAGAGAAAGAAAAAAATTTAATTACAGACTTAGAACAGCAAATCGGGACTGGTGTGGGTTTTGCTGTAATCTTGAAAGATTCATCTTAATTGTAAACTATTAAATCTTAATATAATCATCAATTAGAAATGAAAGCATATGCGCTTCGTGTTTCTGATCATAGTTAAGGTTTTAAAAGATAATTTTTTTTTCCCCCCGGGGCATGGAGCAGGAAGGGATTGGACTGGGAGGGTTTCTTTTCCTATTTTTCTTATTGTGTCTATTTTCTATTTAAAAAGAAGTTGCTATGTTTGGAAAAGTTAGTAACTCTGATATTTTCTACATGGCAAGTTTCCGTCATGTGATGATTTCAGCAAAGATAATCGCTTTGAGGGTCTGGCTAGAAGTTAAATTCTTCTGTCACTTAAGATCCGCTGTAGGGTTTTTTCTTTTTTAAATCTCCGTGTGCTCTTAACTACCGTCTTTCCCCCAGCTCACTTCCAGAAGGGCTGTCCTGGGAATCGTACCCATCCCAATGACTGGGACTCTGTCAGCTGCCTGATCTTCTGCTGAGCCCTTTTCTAAAAGATTAATCTCTAGTTTTTAAACAGTAACCTCCTCTCTTCTTTTAAAGATGATGAGTCACTCACATTTTTAAAAAATAAACAAAGCGCTGATGTAAACCCCGGACAGAAACAGACTTGTCGTAAGTATTCCCATAAGAACTCATTTTTATTT